GAATGTCATCATCAGGTTCCAGATGTGTGCAGAAGAAGATTGTCAGACCAAATGTTCCACCTTGTGTGAGAAGGTAATCTTATCTGACAAATGATAAATACTTTGATGGGAGTTAAGTATTTGTTTATCCTCTAAGGAGGTTGTGCATGAGACATATGGTGAATACTTTGGCGAGAGACTAAGTATTTGTTTGAAGAATTATGTTATTATGCATTCTGACCATTGTGTTTCAAAGAGTATGTGACAGTTTATTTCTCTCTATAACATTCAGGTGTCTGGAATAACTTGGATGAGCTGCTATGGCTGTGTTATATTGGGAGCTTCTTAAAGGATTTCTATGCATAATAAGTCCTTTGAATAATGATTCAAGAACCAATGTAACTGGGTTCTGTATCATGAAGCTGATGTCTCACATGATATCTTAACATCATGATTGTTGATGGCTATTTTGAATGCTTGAGATTATGCATATGGAGTTGGATGCTCGAGCATTATTGTCAGAAGTGGAATTTCTTACTTTATGGATTAGAATGTGGAGATTATGGTCATGTTTACGATAGTATGCTTGGTGAATGCATGACTACCTTTTTGAAGACTCCACTAGTATCAACAACTACTAGTGGATGAAAAGGGCAGAAGACTGCTAACAGATACTAAGGTATGAGCAGAGTGTTTTGATGAAGTTTTTTTCTTCTACTGCAAGTCACTCCATAAAAGGTTTGATGATATGGATCTTGGTAAATCTTTTAAGCAAACTAAGAGTTTATAGAGTTTGTGAGTGACTTCACACCTAATATGCATGACATCCTGCCTATTCAAAAGGTCACGATACATAGTGTGGTTATGAAAGGACAATATCTAGATGTGTTCTTGAAGAAGTCAAAATTCCTGGAAGTATTCTCAAGGAGTGAGAATATTTGACTCTGGTTTGACTCTACTGAGAGAGTCAAGGTTCACCATATGCGGGGAAGTGCTGAAGTCTTTCAACTAGTGCTCAAGTTTTCATCTTCAATTGAAGCATTGGTTATCCATGACATGGGGAGTCATGTAGGTGTCTGTGGATTGTTGTTGCAATGGTACATATAATTGTTTGTATGTTATTCAAAGCTTGTAGAGATCTCATGCCTCTTATAAGGGTATGATGTTAGACAACATGTTACGACATTATGAAATTATTGGTGATCTTGACAAGGCGTGGTTGGTCTTATCCATGTGAAGCTGGTGGATCATAAGTTCACATATCTCTTTGGTGATTAATGGTTATGTTTGGGAGAATTTATTTTTCTCGGAAGATGTTAAAAGGACTCTTCAGGTCTATATTATTAAGAAATGTCACAAATGTGATGTTTCTTATATCTTGGTGTATATCAATAAGTCTAAATGAAAGGATAATACTTAGAATCCAGTGGAAGATGGTGTGGATGGATATATGTTGGTCAATATGCAAGCAGAAGAAGATAATGTCTGACTGGATGTCAGGACATTATTCAGGACATGTTTCCTGTATGATCAACAAAGGAGTTTTGGGACAGTTTGATAAAACACGGGTCAATAAGCATGTTTGACTAAGAATTTGCATTTATTGGGACTTGTTTTACTCGGAAGAAATAGTCCAGAGTTGTTAAGACGTTCAATGTTGTTTTTGGACGATGCATATTGATTTTGGCGGAAGTTTCTCCTCAAATAACATTTCCTTTTGACTAAGATTATTGCTACATTCAAGGATCATTATTTCCCAAGTAAATTGACCAGTTATTTATAGAGGGTTCTCCTTTCATCTTTCCCCTGTAAGGATTTATTGTGTCTATAATTTTTATGGCTTTTGTTCGGGTTTGGGTGAGATGTGCTTGGGTTTGGTTTTATGATGTCCTTCTTTTTCAATTTTTGGCCAAAAGGGGGAGAAAGGATTTACTTAGATGGATAATTTGGAGTCTGTTCTAACAAGTATCTTTCAAATATGTTGGATAAGAATATTCTATCATGTCTGGTGCATTGTTTTGTGACTTGTGATCTGAGTTAGGAACACAATTATGACCTGTGTTCCGAGTTACCCAGGGTGGTGGTTGGATGCTTCATGCTCCTCTTTTTCCACCAGTTGAAAGGAAGATCTATTCATCTGTATCAAGAATAGGCTGTTGGGTTAAGGGGCAGTGTAGGCATATCATCTTCCTTGTCTAGATTGGTTGCATCAAATATCTTCAGAACTTTCCTTCCTTTTATGCTGGAGTTGGTACTACAATGGAGTTCATTCAAAATGATGGAAAGTATATGTCAAACAAAGATGTCCCAACATCTTTACTGAATACTGAATCTATGTTGTTGTGCTGATGTGATCAGTAGTTTCTGAGGATTATTGTTGATGGATGTTTTTGTTTATTTTTGTAATTTGGTTGTAATTTTTATGTATTTGTTTTAGCCAAAATTTACCAAAGGGGGAGATTGTAAGTTCCTTAGTTTTAAGGATTGACATTATTTTTTGTAAAATAAATATAGCAGCAATATGTTAGATAGGATGTATTAACTTGTTAACAAGAATAGGTTAAGCAAGAAGTCCTATATTATGTTAGGACATGTTGAGTTGAAGAGTTTCAACATCTGGAACAACATATCGTATAAGATGTCCTATGAAGGAGCATACGACATCGCGCCTGAGCTGAAGTGGACAGTTAGTTTCTGTTATGATTTAACTGATGCAGAATATTTTGGGAATATTAGAGGTCAAGAAGAATCTAATCAGAATATTGAAGAATACACTGTTTCTAAATTTGCATATAATTTAGGAAGATTTGATTGAAGACCTTGTTTGTAGCAGAAGTTACTGCCGGTTGTTATAACTGATATGTTGTATTTTAAAGGCCCAAATCCAGTTGGGTATAGGTTATAAATAGAAGTGTTTGTAACCTAGGAAAGGCACGAGGTTCAAGATGTAGAAGTCTAAGGCTTTGTCTTTGTGTCGCTCTCTAGGAGAGGTGGTGTTAGTGAACCACTTAGGTTGTGAGATGGTCACTATATTCTCACTTAGAAACTGTGAAGTAATGAGTTAAGTATTGTTCCTGGAGGATGCTTTGAAGCAACTCCAAGTTGTGGTCTTAGTCAAGAGTCTTGGCTAGTGATTGTCATGAAAGTGTGTCTTCCTGTTTCTTCATAATTGTGTTGATCCAATCGTTGTCTGTGATTGAAGAGGCATTAAGGAGGGCCTCATATCTAGGTAAGTCTAAGATAGAAGTCTAGTAAGGGTAGTGATTAAGTGATTAGGCCGTAAATTGGAGGTTTGTTTTAGGGTCTATGAATTGATACTATTTTAGTGGACTTATCCCTGGCTTGATATGCCCCCAGAGTAGGAGAGTTGCTCCGAACTGGGTTAACAATTCGGGTGTGTTGTTTATGCTTTTCAGTACTGTTTTTATTGTTAATACTTTACATGTTTGTTTATGTCGAATCAGATGTCCCAACATGTCATAGGATATATGAGTTCTGCCATACAAGAATTTCACATCTCACCATGAGAGATGTGGAAGGTGACATCTCTGAATGCCATCTTATACCCAGTGACGCATAAACCTTTCAACCCAAAGTAACAAACTACATCTTGAAACCATGTGTCTTCATTTTGTTACAGGTTCAAAATCTTCTTGGCATGGTTTACATATTTTATCATTTCATGCTCCTGTAAAAATGAAAATATCAACATCATTCGCAATTCAATAAGTATGAAACAAATGTAACATAAAAGCAAATAAATATACCTCTCCTACCCACACATGCCCAACAATATTTTTGCATAGATATGAAATAAGGAGGTGTCATGGGGTCTCATAGATAACTATCAGGAACAACAGGTTTCTCCTAATATGCTTTATAAGTTAGAGGGTCGGTAGGAGACATGTGCCTTCAGGAAGTTGAAGTCTAATATACACGATCTTGTGAAGTCTAAGACCTGCGACCTTTTGAAGTCGACGCTTCCGCGTCAAACAAACTACCTCTCTCCCTACGAACGGATGAAGTTGGGATACACAATCGCACTATCCTCATTGCGAACAAACACATGATGGGATACACGATCATGTCTTATTATGTCTTGGTTTTCAGTCATTGTACCTATAATACAAACCAGAAAATCATATCAAAATCAATCCAACTAAAATCTAGAGATGTATCTCCGTAAAACAAGAAAGGCAAAATTCTGAGATGCATCTTCGTAAAAATGCGTGATTGCAGAAAATGTAGAAAATCCCCCATGATTCCTAAACATTAACAAATGTGAATGCATGTGTATACAAACTACCTATTTTGAATGTAACTATAATCTAATGCATTTTAAACAACCTATTTTACCTAATACGCACAACTCAAAAATAGAAAGGAAATGAGAAACTTACCGATTGTGAGTTGTTGTGCAAAACCTTGAATTATGTGAATGGAATGTCTTGGGATTGATTGAAATGAGATAGAACTAGTGTTGAAGCTTGAAAAATAGTGTAGTTAATTCTTGCTCATGAGCTCTTTGAAGGGTTTGTGAAAGTGTAGCAAATGAAGAAGGAAGGGGGAAGGGCTCGGCGCGAGTTCTATTAATTAAAATTCGTTTGGAGATACAAGTCCGTAAAACTCATTAAGCATAAAACACTGAGTTTTAAAATAAAAGTTATTATGGAGATGCATCTCCGAACACATTTTTAGATAAAATGAAGTGGCTCACTCACGTAAACCTTGAGAGTGTATAATATAAACGAGTCCAAATATACATCTCCAAAATCTTGAAATACTTGTAATTTTTCACCGTGGTGAACTAACTAACAACTTATGAAGTGTAAATTCTATATTGAATATTTACTTATTACCTATCTAGCTCCTATTGGACTCATGTTTTATTAGAAACATTCACTTGAAATTTATACGTTAACTAAAGTGATTATTGTATTTATTGCAACTCAAAAGAAGTATTGAATTCAGTTACAAATTGAATTCTTCAAGAACAAGGGAAGAAGTGTGACTAGTCTACTATGAAGCAACTAAAAGACAAGTCCACCATTCCATCCAAAATATCCTTCCCTTTCCAAAAATTCACACATCAAAAGGTTAGTTTTGTCTCTTCATAATCAATACAATTATCCAACATCAAAACAAATCCTAAAGCTACACATGTCAACACCCTTCTCAAAAATTTTCTTACTTTTCACTTCATTTTTCATTTCACTTCTACAACCTTTCTCTCTCCCTTTCTCTGCATAAACCTTAGCACTGCCGCCTCCGTCCCCTTTCTCACAGTTTCGACAGCGACCACAATTTCTCCTTCAGCGACGGTCACAAGGTATATTGCCATTGTTGTACACCCATTTTATTTTCTAATTTACAAACTTTCTCAGTCACATCTCGACGACTACAAGTCATTTTTTAGTAATTTATCACCATACAAATACTCTTCTTTGTCTTCTCTATAAAACTCACAATTAAATTTCTCAATCAAAATATTTTTTCGGACGACCACCGCAACGGGAATCATATCCACCGCGGAAATCATCACCACCACGCCAATAAAATCTAATGTCTCTATTTTATTTCTTTTACGTCACCATAGGGGAACTATATTGATGTAGCGCAGCTGTTTGCCAAGGCATTAGGAAAAACGCTTGCATCCCTAAATGTCAATGATCAGAAGATTGGAGTTACGTTAAAGCCATCCAATAAAAAAAAATTGTTGCATTTAATGTGTTTGTGGAAAAGTTATAGTGAATATCATTATTGTTATTTTCAATATTGCAGAAGCACAAATGTTTTGGTGGCAAGGTGACTCTCTGAGTAGATAAAAATTTAAGTTTGAACAAGAACGATCCAATCTCGGTAAGCATATCCTTCATATGTTTTATGTTTACCTTTTAGTTTATGTATTGTTTTACCTTTTTATGCATTATAACTGTTTGATAAAAGATCTAAGTGTCTTTGTTTTTTCCTATTACGCGTTGTGTTGTCTTTTCTTTATAATGAATTTTTTTTTCACGAAATGACTCTATTTTGAAGTTTTCTATGCATTTTTCATTTTTATGAGTTTGATTTTATATGAGTTTACACTGAACAAGAGTTTTCAACTGTTAATATTTAATGTTTGAAATGATACAATTGTCATTTTAACAATCATTTTGAATTTTAAGGTGATAGAGGTTAAAAGCACACCAAATAGAGTTTAAGATTACATTGTCAAGTGATTCTGAAGCATATTTATGAGAATTGGTGTTTTTGTTGGCTAATCCTCTTTAATGTCCTGTAATATTATATGTTAGACATGAAGCTAAGCATGCATGTAAAACAATATCAATTACACTTATGGATGAAGATTTAGTTCATAAAATAATCCAAAGTGCATCCAAATGTCATGTTAAGCTAAAAAACCATTAATTGAAATTGTAGGTGCTGAATCAGTAACCCTGGAAGCTAAAAAAGAGGTGATGCTACATTCTATAGACACTTTTGGATAGATAATTTCACAGTATAGAGGTGTCACAAGGTAAAACTTCATTCACCCCTCTTTCACTTTCTCAAAGTTTGATTGAAATAGTGATTTTGTAACTATCCTTTTGATGTTTATTTATTATTTTCTACTTTAGGCATAGATGGACTGGTAGATATGAATTTTGCATTTTGATTTTAACAATCATTTTGAATTTTGATTGTTCAGCTGAGAATTGATTGTTCAGCTAAGATTCATTGCTTAAAGCATCATTATCTATATTGTTACAGTGTAATTCATGTACTTATGTGACGGGCTTCTAATATAGCCTTGCAAGTATTTATTTTGCATTCTAGAGGTATTGTTTCTATGTTATATATGTTCATGATGACAGGGTGGAAATGAGTTAAGTTTCACATGAGCACCTCATAGGTCATAACTAAGCTTATTCGCATACTGTTGTGAGTGCTGAACTTGTCTGTGAGTACAGGCAGTATCCAAAATGGTATTATTCTGTTTGTATGAAATTGAGAATGTTAGTATTAGAAACAAGAATTAGCTTTTAACAAAATTTATGATGTGCACTGCAGGTCACAAACTTGTGTTTGAGTCAGTTCCAGATGGTGAAGGAAAATGGAACATGCAGGCTGCTTCTTCCATTTGGACGTTTACAGTACCGTATTTATACCTAATACTACTCATACTCAAGAGTGTCAATAGTATTGGATCAATGGTTTAATTGGCTGTCATGGATTTCTGTTTTTGGGTAAACACATAAAGCAATCTAGAGGAATTAAAAAATTACTCATGGATCAATTGGAGAAATATATATTACACTTCCATAGGTAATAGTTGAACATAATGATACTTGTGATTAAGATACCAATGTTCAATTTTGCAAAACACGTGTTTTCTGATCTGCACCATATTTCACAATTAACACCGATTCAATTGAATTATGTTAAGTAGGCTCTGGTCTAAAAGTATTACACTCTCATGGCATCATTCATTTCAGAACATATTTTTGTACTTTGTAATTTTTCCATTATTCTTTCAATGAACTATAAACAATTATATATATTTAGTTAGCTTAATTATACTCAATGTTGATGTATCACAATGTCAAATAGCAAAATTCCAAACTGTTGCATATGGTAGTTGTTTAAAAAATTATTTTGATGTCATTACCACATAATTGCAGGTTATATTATTAGCCACTCTTTAAATACCACATTCTTATGTATTAGCTACTTCTATCATAAAGATAAGTAGAACACTAATATGCTGCTTGTGAAGTTCCACTATTTTTTCTAAAACTTAGCTGAAGTGGGTTGCGTATTAAAATATATGCTTTTGGTGACAATAATCTTTTGGGTTAAATGTCTTATACCCTAGTGAAATTTGATTTACCAAAATTGTGATTTCCCCTCAACATTTCTAGATTCTATCAAAAAACTTTGATGTAGATTTTTGTTCAAGATTCTGTCTATTTGACTTACGTAGTCAATTCAATGTGGCTGACTGCAAACAAGTTGCCATGTTGTCTCAAAAAAACAAATTTCAGTGGGATGCGAACTTAAAAACATCTTCACAAAGGCCAAATACCCAACTACTAGACTATCAGTTTTTATTTATAAAGGAACTCCCTCAAATTATATTTATTCTCTTGAGATATTCAACAATTTAAATGGGCAGCTAGGACTTCCAAAAAAGGTCACTTGTTCTCTGCAATGGCGTGGAAGGCTATATATTCCAAGCATTCAGTTGTAAGCATAAACTCCTTCAGAAGAGTTTTACATAATTTTCTCTTCCTATCTTTGTTTATCATCATAATTTTTGTCTGTTGTAGTTAGTCGTCACGTATAACTAGTTGGTTTGTTTGTAAAATATGTGGCAAGTAGTAAAAGATGAATATCTTTTTTTAGATTAGTAATTAAAACAACTAACAGTCCACAGTGCTATCTGATTTTATGTTCTCTTCAGGGTTACGTGCCGTCTATGGAATTTCTTTCGTTTTACTAAAATGAAAACCTGATGTGAATTTTTATCATGGAAGTCGCACTGATTTTTTTTTTGCCACAATTATTTTGAATGAATTTTATTTTCTGCTCTAAGAAAAGTATTGTTTACTTCATTAATTCCATTATTGACCGGATTTCCACCAAAACTCATGCTGAACTGCATCAAAAATATGTTATTGTTGACACAACCATATGAAAGTACAATATAAAACTTTAAAATTTAGTTTAATCAACGGTTTATTTATGTATTGATATCTCAGGGAATAAATATAATTTGAGGGAATTCCTAGCTGCCCATTTAAATTATTGAATATCTCGGGCATTTAACCCTAATCCTTTTAATCAAGTAGTTCTATGACCACTAGCCACTACATTTAAGTGTGTAAAAGTAATGAATTTACCTTATATTATATCTCATTTGTTAAAGATAGTTTTATGACCACTTTCCACATCATTTTTTCTGCATAACTTAACCATTAAAACTATTTAGATACTATCTTTTATCTCATTATTCTTTAATTTTTTCTCCAGTTTATCAACTATATAGATACTGTTCTGGACTGGGCCCGACAGGCCCAATAGCATTGATAAGGCCCAATCCAAATGGACTTGTTGAAGACCACGCCGACCAAAGGGACACAGTCGTGCTCGACGTGCTCCCTGAGATTACTTGCTCGACCTCCAACTGTCCAGCTCGACATCCTGCCGTCCAGCTCGACATCACCGCGAGCACCCCAACTAGGGCAGACTCATTCCACTGCACTCCCAACGAGATCCCGAAAAGACCGCTTCTCTGTCCGCCCGCACTTCACGCCGAACATCCAGGGAGGGGACCACGTGCGGGTTCCCACTACGCACGTAGAACCTGGTAGTTCCTCCATTGGGCCAAACCTGCCCGGCCCAATGAAGGAACTTTGGCCCAGCGTTGGGGGCTATAAATACCCTCTGTTTCCAGAGGGTCAGGTATTCATCATTCTACCCATACTTACTATTGCCTGCTCGTGCTCTTACTTACTTCAGCATCGGAGTGTCTTGCGGGTACCCCCCCCCCCCACCTCGTTCAAAACTTTCAGCTCGGAGCCAGCCGTGACGGTCCAAGTCTGATCAGGTTAGATCAGTGGCGCCGTCTGTGGGAAACTAGCTTCCCCGTCTTACATACAACTCAAAAGACCAAAGCTCATATTCAATTACCTGTCATGGTTGATCCAGCTCGTGATGAGCAGAACGTCCGAGTCGCCGACACTAATAACGGCACGACGGACAAGAACGGACATCTCGACAACGCCGGCAATCCCGGCCACAACACCATTCCTGCAACAACCGTCCCCGAAACTTCCTCATACATGGACGGGGCTACAGCATCATCCTCCTCGCTCCCACCACCACTCGAGGACGACCCGGCGACCCTCGCCCACTATAGAGCCGTCCGGTTTTAGGAAGTCCCCGTCCCCTCCGGGGCAGATGCCACCACACAAGCGTTGTTCGCAGCAATTAACCAAATGAACTATCTCATCTTCGCCCAAGGAGAGAGATTAAAGGCGCTTGAAGACGAGCGAAGACCCTCGAGGAGGCATCGGAGACCACATACTCCCCCTCCTCGAGTGACTGAGGCCCGACACCCTTCTCCCCCGCGGAGACACTACAGGGAGACCTCCAGAAGCCCTTCTCCCCGGCCAAAGCAGAGGCGACCCTATTTAGAGAGAGATCCCGTCATCCCCGCCGGAGAACCCAGTCGCGACCCGGCGAGGCACGACAAGAGACACGCCGGAGACGACCGTGTAACATTCAACCAACGAGCATCACGCTCGAGGGAGACTCAGCACGACCACCGTGCCAGACAATACTACAGGTCCCCATCCCTATCTCCGGAGAGGAGCGACGAGGACGACCCCCGCGGTCCCCTGTCGCAGGCCATCATGGATGCACCCATCCCCCCGGGCATGGAGAAGCCCCCACATCTGAAGGAGTACGATGGAGTCGCGGACCCGGTCGACCACATTGACGGGTTCGAGGCTATGCTCCATTATCATAATGTCGGGGGGCCTATCAAGTGCCGTCTTTTCCCCACGACTCTCAGAAAGGCGGCCATGGACTGGTACAAAGGGCTCTCCCCGGGCTCAATCACCTCGTGGCGGAACCTGAAGAACCAGTTCATCAGTTCCTTCACCGCTTCTCGACGCCATCCAAAGACCGAGGCGACGCTCGAGGCCATCATCCAAAGACAGGATGAGACCTTGAGGGAGTTCATCAACCGCTTCAACCGAGAAGCGATACAGGTCCCCTGCACGGACCACATGAAGAGATATCTGCTAGAGAGGGGGCTCCTCCCCGGCACAGAGTTCAGAAAAGCCGTGGGAATCGAGCCGCCCAGGTCTTTCGACGCCCTCCTCGAAAAAGCTCGGGCATACATTGATTACGAGGAGAGAGAAGCGGCCAACAGGGCCCGAGATTCCAGGACTCGGGGTCCCAGCAACAGCAGCTCGCGCCAAGAGGCTCCTCCTCGACGAACCGGGGAGAAAAGGAAAGAAGACAGACCCCGGGAAGTCCGGGAACAAAGGGGCCCCTCGGGCCGTTTCACCGAGTACACTCCGCTCACAGCTTCCCGCGAGCGTATCCTGGCGGAGTGTGCCAATACAGACTTAAAGGACGGCGGCGTCAAACGTCCCCGACCTGCTCCCGCCAAGCCTGGGGCGGACAAAAATAAATACTGTCAATACCATCGGAGTCATGGCCATCTGACAGAGGACTGCGTCCACCTCAAGGACGCCATTGAAACCCTCATCAAGGGAGGGAGGCTCGCGCAGTATCGGCGAAACGACGCTCCTCGTCGTGACGCCCATGAAGCCAAGGAGCCAGAAGAAGACGCCCGACCATCAGACGAGTCGGTGCCTATCCAGACCGCCTTCTCGGTGACCAGGCCCGAGGACTTCGACATTCCCGAGCACCCGCAGGAATCGCTGACAACGCACAGCAGGTGGGAATACTTTCCCTCCGCCATGGTCATTAATGGGGGCGGGTTCAACGACCTCACCATCAATTCAGCTAAGAGGAAGTTGGATGAGCTGGTCGACGCGGCTCCCCCGCAAACAGTAACGTTCGAAAGGGTGAAGGGCAGGTCAGATCCCATCACCTTCTACCTAGAAGAGCTCCCCGGCGGAGCCCCGAACGCGGTCATCCCCTTACTGATAAGGGCAAGAATGGCCAATTTCGACGTGAATCGCATCCTGGTCGACGAGGGGAGTTCCGTCGACGTGATGTACAGCCAACTCTTTCGAACCCTACAGCTGGACGACTCACATCTCTCTCTGTATGTGGGGTCGGATCTACAAGGCTTCAACGGCTCGACTTCCAAACCTTGGGGTTATGTCGAGCTCCTGGTTACGTTCGGCGAAGGAACGGCTACGAGACAAGTTAAAGTCCGTTTCCTCGTCATTGACTGCCTGTCTCTGTACAATTGCATCTTGGGGAGACTGACTCTGGCAGAGCTAACAGCGGTGCCCTCGACCGTCCATCTGAAGATGAAGTTCTACACCAGGAGGGCACGGGTAGCCACCATCCAAGGAGACCTAGCCGCTGCCCGTAGGTGCTTCAACGCCGCTTCTAAGGGATGGGATACCGTCGACATAGGGACCAGACCCGCCAAAAGGACAAAACAGGAGCCCGACAGGAAA